GTGAATAAAGAGTTGCGCAAATCCTGATAAGTTTTACGCAGTCCCTTATAACTTAAAGTGATAAGAATAAAAGGAGAGATTTGGGAACATAGAAATACATTCAAAGACAAAAGAAGTGATGCTGAATTTAACTGAACACTTTCTTTAGTATTTGAATGTATTCGTTGTCAAAGCTCTTTTTTCTCATGCAGCGTTTTGTCAATGAATCACCACTGTATGCTAAACTGCTCGGCACCATGAAATAGTTGCTCATGCGTGATATGATGCCGTATATCATTTTACATATTGTGGCGTGCAATATAAACCTCTGCGTATTAATCTTTTTCAAAKGCACGAGACCCACCACGTCGAAAATTCGACATCTTTGACTTTGAGTCAAGTCCAGAAAACAACACATTTGCGAAGCACAGGAAACGATCGCAAAGATTCTCGGATGCTCGCTGGCCTCTAATTGCTTAGTGCAACTCACAAATTTATCTTCTGTTATTATTTTTTTTCTTCAGAGTTTGCAATCACTGGTCGTTATAACATTAATGATTAGTGTGGAAAAGAGACGAGGGAACATCAGCAAAGATGATACTTCTCAAAAATCCAGAAAAAAGGAATGCAGAGCCTAAGATAGAAAATAGTATGTTGCATGCGCTTGGTAGATAAAGAAAAAWTGCTTTTAGTTTCCTTTGCAGCCTCTTTTAGAGTTACAGGAATCTTGTACGCTCCACTAGGGTGATGCAGTAATGTTAGCTTAGATCAAGGGATCAAAAGATCGCTTTCATTCATAATTGCTCTATATATACAGTGGTATTGTGACATTAGAGTTGATTAGTATTTTGATTTTTATTGTACTACTTATTAATTATGTGATCCACCTGACGATGTGACCAGACAAACAAGCTTATAATGTGAGCCGCGGGAAGTCAGAAAGAAGTTAGTCAAGACAATGTGTTTTTCCTTGCTGATTTCCAGATTGTTAATGCAATTTCGACTTAAAGTGCAAAAGACGATATTCTATATTTCCTGAATGGAACAGGAAGTCAGTTGAAAGGAAATTTGTCAAAACAATTTGTTTTTAATTGCTGATTTCCTGGCTATTAATGCTATTTCGATCTCAATGTTTAAAGGGACACTGTCAATGGCACGCATGCGCGAGTAAACTTGAAAAGATTAGGCTAATGATTTCAAGTTTACGACTCCAAGTTGGAGCGACGCATGACAAAAAAAGTACTCGTAAACGTAAACAGATCTAGAATATTCCAAAGTGTGTCAAAATATTAATTTACCTCGAAGGTAATACTTTCAAAGTCCGTTAGAGGCAAGACTGTTACTGCGCATGTCATCYATTGACATTTTCCCTTTAAGACGATATTCTATATCTCGTTTCCATTTCTTCGTGCCAGGTGCTCGGGCCACAAGATGGTGGAAAAAACTTATTGTTCCGTGAATTTCTAAGGTMCCCGTTCTCAGATTACCATAGGGCCTASTTCGCGCGCTCGCTTTATCAATAGATAGCCCAGTAGTTTATACAATAAGCTAATTGTAATTTTCATCTATTAACTCTACAAGTYCAGACGTTGTTTTAGAAATAACATTGATTCGACAGAGGAAACGGCAATTCCCCTCCTTCTAAGGACCAACGTCTGAATAAATAACGTCCACGTACATATTGACGCTAAATATTTTATATGATTTTAGAGAATTTTTTTAAATCTTAGAGAATTATTAAATGATAGTTTAGCAAGCATTGGTTTGTGTGGTGGTGTTGGAATATCTTACCATACCAAACTGGTATGCTAGGTGACGATTCGAAATCTGGAAAAAGTGTCTCTTTTAGTAAGTTTTACTTCAAATWGTTCGTCCAACTTATACAATGTTTTATGGTTAGYGAAACCGTAAGAAAAGCGATTATCTTTTTCTAAACGATTACAACTAYTTACATTATACTGRCATTGAAGAGGTTGTAAAATTTATTGCTGTTTTTGTGCTCTAATGATAAGCGCAAACCAATTCCTTTTATTTCCAATCAACACAAAATTACCTTTTTGAGCATTAAACACCTTTAATGAGGTGATTATGTTGTACTTCTATGTTAACTACCGAGTRTTATTTGCGTCATCTGCTCTCATTATAACAAACTCAAAATGGAAAACTGGCCGAGTAAACCGTTTTTTAACTCGTCTTTCAGTAAGTATTTTGAAAGAAAATGCATGCCTTCACTTTTTGACTTTTTTTATTTTTTAAGGAATAGAGAGTAAAAAAAATAGTTGAAAAGAAGCCGAATAAAAGAAAGAAAGAAATAATGAAAAAGAAAGATATCGTATGATTTTTCAAATGCGCGCGAAAAAGTACAAAATGTTTCCTGAGCTGAAATTCGTCATCCAACTACTTCAAAGTAACATGCCTTTGTTAAGTTAATTTTTTCCTGATTTCTCTCTTGAGATTCTCACTAATGTGCAGAAATCAGCTGTCATATGATAATCTCTTTACGATAGCAATCTGTCTTGTGGTTTTGACATGTAACCAATAAGCASTGTTTCGAACCACCTGTCTCGATGACTGATGAAAACGCACTCGATAAGAACTCTTCATTTAAAAACTCGTCGCAAACATACTTTCAAGTTCTCGTCTATTGGTTTTTAGTAGATTGATAACTCAGCTGTATATTTCCACACTGGTTCTCGAATTTTACGAAATATTACGAATCCACAACTTGACTAGAGAGATTTTTGACAATGAAGACTTCAAATCATGGCCATCCATTCAAGTGCGTCGGCCAGGAGAGTTGGAAGCACCTTCTTGCCTTTGTTCTTGTATATTGCTTTGAAGAACTTCTGAGACTACAGTTTTTCAAGTAAGTAGACCGCCTTTTCCTGGAAAACGAAGCTAACTCTTCTTTTCTGAAGCAATCATGGGTTTTTGTATTTGAACATTTGACTTTAAATCTTAATGGAATGTCGGCTTCAGATCGATGGAATGATATACAGAATTCCTGCACTAGATCAGTGTTTTTAACATAAATCGGTATCAACTGCATTTTAAAGGTTTATGAGTGAAAAGAGGTAAATACACACTCGTATTTGGAATAGCTATTATAAGTAAACTTTGTCCGCATAGCAATTYARTCTTAAAGGTTTGTGGTTGGTTTAGTATGCGGTTTTTGAAGAACTACTGAACTCCTCTCATCAAACAGCATTAGTAATATAAGTTCTTTCATCGTGAATTCGCTCGRCGTCCTTGAATGGCTATTTGTTTTTAAGCAATCTTCTTACAACTTAAGTGTTTGTATGCTACAGAATCCTTGATGAACTGCGAATACTAGCTTTCCTAAGAAGTTAGATTTACTGACTTTTAGAGAAGTATTTTTCGTGCATTAGATTTCATAAAKACGTGAAACAAACAGCGTCATTACAGTTTTAGTTCGTTGCCTGTTAAAATATAGTTGTCATAAGCCMATAAAATACACTCTTGTGTGATAAACACATCTTTAAGTATTCTTTATTTTGCGCGTTTGTTTCTTTGATGCATTGCACGTCTTTTATAGTTACACATTATTTAGATCAGCTACAAACTGAACCATTCTTTTACCCTTCATACATCGTTGTACGTTGTTATTAAGACTSCCATCATGCTTGCTGTATTTGTCTGATACTTACTTAAAAGCTGCCCTGACAGTGTAATTATTATTTAACTACTTTTTGGCTTTATGTGCACCATTATTTTAATTTCTACAAAYTCTGTTATCATTCACACGGCCAGTCGACACAGAAGAAAGAAGGTGTGGTCGACGATCTTGAAGTAATGGTACATTACTAACATTGTCAACATCAACCTGTCAGTGTAAAACACTGTTATAGCTCAATGTTACAGTATATATATAGTTTATAGCGCAAAACAGCGCTTACAAAAAGTAAACCAAACAAACAAAAACAATCGTGACAGTTTCAGTAGTTCAAATCGACGAACTGTCTGACCGGAAATTCGCTGACACACTATTAACACCTAATGAGTAAAATTTGAAGGTAAATCTCCGACATGATTATCTTATATATAACACATATATGATCAATAGGCTCACATTTTTCTTTGGTATCACTAGCTTTCTCAGTGTATCATAGCAACTTGAGTAAAAGACTTAANAGGTCAAAAATGGCTTTTATAGCGTTTTTATGGTAAAAAACGACTTATACTTTTGTTAGGTTAGGAAATTTTTATTTTCCTAGCAAAAATTCTTAAAAAGTATTCCTTGTCTTGAGAGTTATGTTTTCCTGAATTTCTCGCTGGGAACCAGTTTCGACTTACAGCTGGCTGGGACATAAGAACAGATATATTTCTTCCAGGAACCCATTGGCTCCTCTTGGCAAAGGCTTTGAGGAAATAATCAAAGAGTTCATGATCATTCATTTCTATATATCTTTTTGTTTAGGCACTTGAATTCTTATTCGTCACCAATTCGAGAGGTTTTCCACGCGACTTGACATTCGCGGAAATAGAGGGCTTCGATAAGTAGTTCTCTTCCTCTTGAGACTACTTAAAATATGAATATCCTGTTGCCTATGTAGTTAAAAAACTGTATAAAGGTGACATCATGCAGGAAACCGAATGTTCTCGTGTTAGCTGTCAGAGATCCATGACAATGTCAACCAACTGATCTTTAGTGTCAAAAAGGCTAGGGTTCTGAAATACAGATTGTTTTTCGCCAAACCGTGAAGTAAAAGTGTAATAGCCAAAGCTTGAAAAGCTGGATGCGTAAAGACGAAGAAAAACGTACCAAACTAAGTAATATTTGCAATAAAGTTCAGTTATCTAGATGGAAGAACGAATCGTGATGAAGCTCTTTCTGACTAGGACTTTTGAATTGATTCAAAAAGGGAAACCAGCTATACAAGACTAGATAGGATCTATCTTCTGTGGCCTGAGGTCGCATAACACTAACTGAGTAAAATGATATGAAGGCAAAGGCTATTCTTGGCCAACATTAGGAAAACATTAGTATCAAGTTCATGGTAACAAACATAATCTACATTACAGATATCTTAGACATTGTATCTAGACTTTTTGTTAAGAGCGCAAAAGAATTTGAATAATTAATTAAAGAGATTATCTACGCACATGTCCCTAACTGCATTCCATCCAACAAATATTGCAAAATGTCATGATACGTAAAGTTTGTCTTCCAAACAAAGAGAGTCATGTGCATGTTATCTTGTTGTTCTTATAGATGTCCATGTACAAACTACACTATGTACAGCTTGGCCATGATTGCCGCMCCATCTCTCTTTCTACTGGGTGTGGGTTTCTGTACAAGTACTAACTACTGGAAGGTTGTACACACTCGTAGGAATATGATCAACTATAAAGTCCTCATCAACTACTGCCTAAAGTCATTACCAAACCTGTTCGAACCTTTCTTTCCTGTATCTGTCTTTATTGTATTGGTACTTTTAAAAGGGGAATATTACGCATGCGCTATGGTTGGCAACTCTCACGCATGCGCAAAACAAAAGGAGATTGGCTCTAGGATACTGACAACGAAGGTAGATAATCTAATTTTTAATTAAAAAAATAGTCATATCCATTAGTTCGAAAGGCAACTAAATAGMAACCACGCTTTGASMGCTTCTCACCACGCCACGCTAAATGATACTTGGGCTACCTGTGTCACGTTATATCTGATTCAAATCATTCATTTTAGCCAACAGACGAATTTGATCGACGCACACTTTATTCCCAGTCACAGTTGCTTGGTTGTGGGGTAATGGCCGGCGTTACCATCTTTGCTGTGGGAATCATCTTTATTCGATCATGTTTCTTTGTCAGAGAAGGCATCCCTGACTCTGAGGAATACTATCTTCTTGAAAACAAACTGTTAGTGGAGTCATTTCGCGAAAAACTTGAAGAGTCCATTGAGAAAGAAGTCAAACGTGATGTCGAAGAAGCATTTRAAGGTGTCGAGGAGAAAGGTGTTGAGATGGTTTTCAAGCAAGCACRCGATCACATTGGATACAAAAAAACACTTAATCAGAATGGCAGGTTTACTCGACTGAACGAGAACGGACATTGTGATGAAGAAAACTCGTCTGTCAGAATTATCGATTCGTCTCTTTAAAGAAMTTGTATTGATTCCACTTTGTCGAAGGTACATCGACGCGACTTTTATCGACATTTGCACACATTGTACAAACTTTGGACGATGATTTTATCGACTTATCGTATCAAACGATCGATTTAAATCTGCGGATTATATTCCTCTCTTAAACGACTTTTTAAAAGCTCTGATCAACTTCTGCAAATCATCGAATGATACCTAAAATTTCAAAGCCATTAATTTTTCAGATCTGGTGCGGCTGCGTCATGATGACAATGCTCTTTTATTATCAAGATTTTACCAAAGGCAGGTGCGTAGCGTCCTTTACGCATATACGCACGTGCGTGCAAGTTGCAAGGAAAAATTGAAATGTTCGGGATTTTTTTAATATATATAATTGTCTCGATGCCCCTCAAAACGCTGTAAATCGCATTTTTAATTGTTAATATTTCAAAATTTCCTGGGGGAGGACCCCAGACTTCCCTTAACACTCCCGCATTCGGCGGTCGTTAGCTCCACCAATCCAAAATATGTGTCGCGGCCCCTAACATGCGCGTACTAGCCAAAAAGTCCAGGCTACGCGGCTGAAAGGGCTGTTCATCCATTAAGGGATACTATTCAGAAATCAGCTCGAAGCAATAGAAGATTATAAATATTTCAAGAAGTATATGTAGTCACTTTCAAAAGCAATTAAACTAAAGAAATTCTCAACTGTGTGTATGGTGATTATCTACCTTGAGAGGTGAGAAACAGATTTCCAAATCCTTCGCCTTTTAACACATTTTCCCGTTTTCTAACGATTCTTCGCATTTGCTCGTTAGCTTGGGATCTAATCCCCGTAATTTCGGGCTACCTGTCTTTATTTCCCAGGGTTCTAAGGGAGTTTAAAGATGGCCGACATTCTTCTGGAAGTTTAAGGTGTTTTTAACTCTTAAGATCTTGGAAAATCACCAAAATAGTTGATAAAACTGGCTTACAAATAAGGTAAGGCAAATATCAAATGTGAACCAGAGGGCTCAATGATGGACATTTATGCAAATAGTGGCAATCCCATCGGCCTTCCACTTAAACACTTTTTAATGTAGTCGATGTAGTTCCAAGTCACGTTAAGATCTGCTATGTTTTTTTTTACTACACAGTCTACATTAACTACCAATCGACTTGAWTGCTGTATAATAACGAATATAATTAATCAATCATGTGGGTTTGAATTATAAATGTTTGTTGGATTAACTTTGMACTCTATGAATTGTCTGTCCTTCCAAGATTCCAAGTTCTGTCATTTTTCCAGTCTGCACAGCTGAAAGCGTGCAGCGCCTTCGAGTCTGTCTTTACATTCACTTGTCATTTTTTGTCGTTTTCCATTTATTTGAAGTATTTTCATTTTTGTGCAGACTTTTTTGCTAATAAATGTCATTTTTTTAATTATTTCTCTGCTGTCTGGCCTCAGTCGATCGGCTTGRTACTCATGWTCTACAYTTTAATCACACAGAAAAGCTTGWTTGTTGGTCTTTAATTTATTAATATTTGTTCTTTCTGTAAACCCTTTTTTTCATTAGTTTGTATTCAATATCGGATAATACAACGACAGTTTTGATTGTTAACAAAACAAAACAAAACAAAAATACATAATTGCAAGATTCTTTTCCGATCACCTCTTCTAGAACAATATGTCCTGTGTGTTTCAGTTCCGGGAAACACTTTATTCATATTAGCGAGGACAGGGCTGTCTTATGTAGYAATATCAAGTCGTATTTACAAAGCTAGATTTCTTGTTTGCTTTGATAGAATCTAATCTTTTTTCATGTTGATACTCCTAGAGATAGTATGTGCGTAAGTTCTTATGGGTGTATTTAACTTATCATGACCTGACAGCGATACRTGTGACGCTGTATTCATGGATTTGCGCGTGGTTCCCACCAGATCCAGTGTTTATCATTGATTCTTTAATTATTACTGTTTTTACTACTACTAGTATCGTTATCCTTGGCTTTAATTTGCAATTGCCAATCCCTACTGATGTGGACTAGAACGACTGCTTGGCAGGCAGCTCTCAAACATCGGATCTCTCATGTTATGCCGAATATGATAATGAATACGGCGATGAAACATTGAATTCGGTACGTTTGAGATTTGCCGTGGCCTCTGGCAGAAGTACGCAAAAGATTGCGCGATAAGATTGTATCATCACATGTAAAGGAGTAATATATACTCAATTCAATGTGATTCCTGATACGTAGAATTATATCTCTTATTCTGTTCCGTGATCGCTTGTAATAATTTATATGTCAAGAGCGATGGATAGCGCATTTCGTGAAATGACTTAAGACATCAATTTTTAATTTTAGAATGATATCTTTGCAAATAAACGTGGAATATCTTCACCAAACATAAATCGTAATGCTTGGGTAGTCGTAGTTTACGTAAGGGATCAAAGCATGGATGAATATCTTTTTAGTACTGATACCTTTGGACCTACCAGCTTCAAATTACCAGTACTTCTCTGTGAATGCTTATTACTTGTGCATTTTTATTTTCTAATTTAATAACGTCATTGTTTAAAATGAGTTATTTTACCGGGTCTTGGAAACTCCCAGAGAAGAGACCTYTGCCTTAAACAAGTTTTCGGCGGGTTTTTGTGGCATAGCTTAAGGCAATTAAGAGCTAAACTTTGTTAATAATGAACAGGCATTAGCTTGGACTTTGAGGATTTTTCAATTATTAAAGCACAAAGCGCGGAAATGTCATTTGCATACCGAAGTTGAACGCAGGTGAATGTCATGCGCAGTGGCGTTAAACTAGGAATTATTTACTTTAGCTTCTGACAGTATTCAAGCTCGTGTTTTAATGATAGACACAAAGTTAAAATGGCAGCACATGAAAACAGCTAYCAGAATACAGCGCCTAGAAGATCGATCTTTAGAGACCTCTTAATAGGAAACGAAAGGTTAGACAATACTAACTTTTTTGCCAAATATATTTTTATTGACTTTCGATATTTTATATATCAATTTCAATAATAATAGTTTTGGTACATGCAACTAGTTCATCTCACCTTATCGCAATCACTAAGGTAGGCACACTKACAAATTATATGCAAGTTCGGACGATTGATAAGTCTTGGGCAGTCAGTGGAGTTATATGTACTCCAAGATAGCCTGCTGTTCATGATTTTTGATTAAAAAAAGGTCTCAGAGAGTTCAAGCTTAATTGAAGGCCAAAATGAACCGATACCGCAATTTTGAATCGTCAAATAACTGCGCGAAAATAACGCCTATTAATGCAAAATAGAAACAATAGAATGTGTTTGTATTTTTTATGTATCTAAATTGTCTCACTCCTAAAAACGTYTTTAAAACAGCCATACTTAGAGMTTTCATTCCACYTTGAATGTTTTTATATTTTTKCAATAGCAGTWGATGCGCTGCATATTCAAGTTTCGACGCAAGATGGTATTTTTTCATTATAGATAAAAACATGACACTTACAACTACATGGTGTGTGTGTCAATAAAACATTCGTTTTCACCAGTTTGATTGTAAGAATGGTCTCAAATGCATGAAAAGTGCTGCGGAAATGTGCTCTTTTTATATTCAAGCTTCTTACAAGAGAACGCTAAGGACTTCRGTTTTCTAAAAAGTTTCTACTTAAAGGTCTTTCAAGAGTCTCGYATATTATAGTGCATCCGCCTTGCAGTAGTAAAACAATTTGTGCCGTTATCATGAACGATATCCTCGGGCAGTGGTKATAGTATTACAAAACTTTGCCGTACATCCTCTTTGCACTGCAACAAGAGAAGAATGCGAGGCAACTTTGAGAATTCATTTCAGAACACTCCCATATAATTCACAATTTAATTCAAAGAAATTCGGTGAATTGAGCAATGTGGTGTTTATTTGCTTACTAAAACACGTTCAAAATACGCTAAGAATCTTAATGAAGTAAAAAAACATAGGATTGCGGGTTATTATTTTCAGAAATAATGGGTTARAATGACATATGTTGGGCTTTAATGAAAAAAGGTCGATCGTAATATATTGATCGAGATGGGTCGTACAACCAAGTATTTGAGATTCTTATATAGTCTCGGCTACACTATATTTATCAAGCTGCTACGAGTCTCGACCTGACCGTGAGGCGATCAAAGATTTTCACTTAAATAAATGTTGACTAAACTGGGATAATGCGAAGTACCCTTATTATTCTAATTTATTAATATAAATATTATTATTGTTGTGCATGAGTTTGATTGATATCACTGTTATCGTATAACAACAATGATATAACATTATTATTATGAACAATGATATTATTTTTGTTTATTCWTATTCGTTTATAATTCAATTTTATTCTTTCATTTTTTACTTGACATATTTGTTTCGGTTGGTTTGTTTGCTAATATCGCGTTCCATGTTGTGTGGTTCCTTGTGTGAGATAACGTCATTTTATTCCTCGCCCTGTAGTTATCTGACATTGCTTATTGGACAGTAAATATATGGGAGTACAATGGTTGTACCGATCAAAGGACTAGTAATGAACATGTGTTCACAGTCCGATCCAGCTGGAAATATTGATGAACAAACGAATAATTGAATGATCGACCGAATAATGAAAAGGCAAATGAAGGAATGAGTGAATTTAATTTATAAATAGAACATTGGAAAAATCAATGAAAAGAAAGATAAAAATTAATTGAATGAAAAAAAAAAGAGATGAAAATTAATTGAATGAATGAGCAAATAGATGAATAAAGATCACTTCAGTGAACATATGGAACTGCTATCAAGTGCCCAAATCCTGCGAGCCAAAAAATTCATCGAAAATAATTCACCACTTCGGCTGTCTTTTTCTTTTTTTTGTACGCGTTTTCGGTGTTCAAAAACAACTTCCAGTGTCCGCCATTAAACTTTAATTTCGTGTTCGCCTGGAGTGTTTTATCCTCTAAATATCAAAAATACATCTCGCAATTCCAAATTCCATTATGCAAAAGACTCAAGTAATGAGAACAACATACTTAGCCAAATATCGTAATCATCCTACTTCCTAATAGAAATCTCCATTTCACTAATTGAAACCTGTTTTGATGCAGGAACTCGCAGTCTGGGGTAGTTTCTAACCGGAGGTCCTAAAAAACCTTTTTTAGTTCTCTTATTGCATCTGAAATTACATTCATTTATCGAAGCTATTTTTTTTTTCTTTTTTAGTATCCTGTTTGTCATTTTTCATGTCTTTTGCCCTTCAACAACGGACGGTTCATCTTCTAGAATATTTTTTAGAAAATATAATATCATTTTTTTTAACAAACCATTAAGCAGTTTAAATTTCCTTCTAAATAAATTGCAGTATAACTTTGCCGCCAGAGGTAGTCTTTCAATTAAAATAAGTGACTGACRCCTGTCAGTCAACTATATACAAGCATCGTGAGCACTCAGTTGGGGATCAATGAAAAAATATTCAAAATGCAGACATATTTCGTCGCTTGAATTCATCATTTTACTGGTTTGCTTGGTTAAACGTTGGCGAATATTTGTCTAAGGAACCTAACGCTTGACATGCCTCACGACAGGTATTGTATTGCTTCTCATATGTCAAAGTGGTGTTTTCTGTGCTCTTGAGGYTCTTTTTAGWGAAGGAAGTATAGTACAATCATGGAGTTTGTCATTACAATTTGCCGTTAATGCACAGGTCATGTCTTAGGGTTTTAAGACTAAATACAATCATTTTTTTTTCTGTAGAAATAAGAAATAATTGATGACTTTTTAGCTTTTATCAAAGACATTTTGAAGTGGACAAAAACGCTTACATGATATATTATTTACGTTTTCAGATTTCATGATTWGCATTTTTTTGAATAACAGAAGTCCATACACGCCTCATTTCAGAAAGCCATTTGAATGCAATAGCAGACATTGAAATGGCTTTTTTTATGTTTGCTTTCACAGTTGATAGGCTTCCACGGTCGACCATGTAACGTTATTTCAGCTAAACGCAGCAAGCAAAGAGTAATAGCCGAAAATAGATCTTGAGTCCATGCTGTTGAATACATAATGTCATCATTCAAGTSTAAGGGTTTTTTTTCCAGTTTCGAAATAATTATTTATGAAGCCCTTTGAGTTGAATCTTTTGTTGATCACTTGAACTTCGTTTCGATAAAGAAAGAGAATATTTACAACTAAAGGATTCACATTGTTATCGCTTTTCTTAAGTAAAGTGAAGCTATAATGAAACTAACAACACAAAAGATGGTTGGATTTATCACGTTGTTTAAATATTTGYAATGCTTAGAACAGACTGAACATTTTGGCCTCTATAATCTGATTTTTTTTTACCATTATTAATCGTATTTTTCTGTCACAATGTTTTTCGGCTTATTTCATCGTTTACAGCCGGCTGTTGCTTATCTYTTGCATAACAGAGTCTTTCGCAATTAGTAGTAGTTTAAAATACCTTGTGCTRGCTTGCGAAGAAATAGTTTTAGTATTTTTTTTATTTTATTTTTTGTAAATATCATAATTATTTTATAGTGTTTGTTATCATCACAATAACGTTTAGCTGGTATCCTAGCAGTAAAGTAACCAACCAGGCCGCGCGTTTCCAGTATACATCTGAATTGTGYGAATATGATGAAATTGTATTATCATTATTAGCAGTCTACGTCTATGTTACCTCGCATTACGTCTACGTTACGTGGCTCTATGTTTACGTTACGTAACTCTTGACGTCTCAATATAACGTTACGTTGCTCTACGTAACGTTGCGTATCTCTTCTCTGTACACTAGTTATGCTGCAGTGCTACAATCACAATGCAATCAGCTACCTAGTAACGTGGGCCAACTTCTCTTACTTTACATAGCTCCACGCCTTCAGCGTTACGTAGCTAATTCTTACGCAAAGTGAACTGTATTTTGACATGGACACCTCCGCATKTAGTTGCCGCTGTAGTTCCGTCTAACTCTACATTTTGGGTTACCTGATAAAAGCGAATCAGTGCAAGGACTGGAAACTGGTCCTTTTGTTTCCTTTTCCCTCCCCACTTTTTTGCGTTCAAGTGAAAACAGGAAACCCAGCATAAAGAGGAATGTCTGTCTATTCAAAAATTCTAACATTTGATTTTCAATATTATTGATTGAATGCGTCATTTAATGCATTTGAAGTTGTTAGTAAAATAGCTTAATCAGGGACATACGATCTTTTCTGAAGTATCATGTCTCCTCAGAAGAATCCGCGCAGAAGATGCTTGAAAACGAGCAACGAAAATGCTGTCTCTGATTCGGAATTCAGTGGTTCCTTTTATACATGATCATTACACCTTGACTAACGGTTTTCAATTCACAATTTATCGTATCAATCAATTGGTATTCGCATATTGTTTCACATTTTCGCGCGATTTCACAATCCGAACAGGCTTATGGGAAGGTAAATCACCGAGGCAAGTACATTTTATTTCTCGTGTAATAGAATTTATTAATCGATTACGAAGCGCCATTCTTACAAAATTAAGTGTCTCTKTCGTTGAAGATGGTTATCGAAAGCCTTTTGCAACAACATATTTTTGACATTCAATCTTTGCCGCATTAATCTAACAAATATCTGCGATCAATTTCTGTTAAAACGTGATCTAAGCCAAAAACAAATTAAAAACGACCTATCAATAATTTAGACAATAATATCATGTGTCAACTAGCGCAGTCTAGAATCCACGAAAGAGAAAAATTATGTTCTAACTGAGAAACGAATAAAAGCTTAGCTCTAACTGCGAGTCGAAGAATGGCTTGTGTGTGATTCAATCAAATTAATGTTAGCAAGGATTATACTTTTCACAGACAAAAGTTATTATATATTTTGCCTTACATAATGATAACAAGTTTTGAATAATATTTCCATCCGCGGAAGTGCTTTTAGCTGCCCGCAACAGGAAAAAAATTAAAGTGATGTAATATTGGAGAACAGATAAAATACAAGCCAAACAGTCGACTTTTATCGTGCAAAACTCCTGGCATCGACGGCTCTTTCCAATATCGATCACGACCGCAGCGATAACAAATCCTCAAAAATATCTAAAAGAAATATTATCAAAGTGCCTTATATTTCATGAAAACCTAGTTTTTACTGTGCGTTTGATATTCCCCATCTTAGAAGTTGATAGTATTTCGATTTCAATGCATTAGCACCTGCTATATTATGTGTTCAAGGCTTTGATTGGTTAGTTTGCCTGTAAATAAGATCTCCTGGTTGGTTTTGTCGAGTAAACTTCTAGTTCAGCTGTTGGATATTTGCATAATATATGCTTCGCTAACAACAGACTAAGTCAAACCTCACAATGGCTACGACTAGCGGACGATCAGGAAATAAGACATCTTTTGGAGTTCCAAAACTCTTTCCTCCTCTACCATCACCGCTAGCGAATCATCCAAGGTAAACGAGAATATGAGACAACTTTGTAACTTGTTTGAGTTCAGCATATTGGTGTCGAAATATACAGGTTGGAGATTTGCTGCAGTTGTTTTTTGTAGAGTTTGAAAGTTTGAAGAAATCTTTAATCATATATCGATGTTWCTAATTGAAGTTCTAGCCGCAAAGTCGACTAAGTGACAACAGTTCATGTACACATGAAATAATCATTTGTCATATGAGAACGACATGGCTTTCCTTGATAAAAAGCAGAGTGTACTCTATATCAAAATGATTAATTTTATTCATAATGTACTTCTCATATCTTCAGTGCAGTAGATTATATTTTTGATAAAATAGTTTTGGTCATTCCCCCGTCAGCCGTGAGCACTCTGCAGCCCTAGTCATGAATGACATGAATTGTTAATTGATGACACTTTTGACTATTTCCCTTGCAAATCATGGAGCTTCCTCACAGCGACTCCACTCCATCTATCTACACTTTTATAAGTGCGAAAAACAAACCGCTAGTTTCCTAGCAAAAACTTAAACGAATAGAACAGGATGCTAAATCTTTGCTTTATCGAAATCTCGTCCGAGTGGATATCATGAAACAGCATGGAATAAAATAATGAATAATTGCTAGGTTTCGACTAGGCTTGAGAAATTGCCAAAATTTTGAGGGCAAAAAAGGTGAACTGGTCAAAATGTCTAAAACGTAAACAAACTAAAACACTAGGACCTTTAATGCTGATTGTAAGACCGAGAGAGAGACACATTGAGTCAGTGAGTCGAGTTGCGGTTTTCTTACTTGCGCATTTGCACGTATTTGTCATTTAACACGTTATAAATAAGATTTTTTTCTATTTTCGATATACATCTGAAATCAGTGACCAGAATGGATTCCATTTTCTGTCTTAAATTAACAAGACAATTCTATGAAATCTTTGTTATGAAGTTTCCTGACTATAAATAACGTATTTTAAGTTAAGTTTTCTTTTATTAAAAATGCAACTTAGGTAAGTCTTATCTCTATAGAAATTGAATCGTGAGCTTAGATATTAGGATTATAGCAAAATACAAAATGTAAACCTGTCGTAATATAATATGCAAATATTTTTCCATCTTCCCAAAGAGTTGTCAAGTAACATTTAGTTGAAGTATTTCATATTATTTTTAGTCAATTGTTCACTCAAAATAAACTATATTCACCAACTGGATCAATGGTTTAAATCTTTATTTGAGATTCCTTTATTTTGTCTTCAAGGTTCGAACGTTGTTACAATTTTCTTTTTGTGTACTACGTCACCATTGCTTGGCCATCGTTGCTATGACAGCGGATGGTAATATTTTTCGTTTCACTTAGCTTTCATTTGTTCTTGATTAACATCAATCCACTAATAGATTATTCTATTGTGTTTCCAGACATYTCTCGAATCACACACAGTAGTGTTCAATATGAAATGCTCAACATGCAGTAAAAAAAGAGCAATGTTTGCACAAAACATTTTATCTTTATCCCTGATATTCAACAATAAAACCCTAAAATCATTTTCTATATTTTGTCTGGAATTTTTTTGTATTTTTAAAATATTGCGAGTTATGAATAAAAGCAATATACAGCCGTATAATCCACTAAGGTTATAATTGACATCTGCAGAAAAAAACATGGCCACCACTTAGAGAATCGATTAGTTATTCATAAATAAGCTCGCTTTTATATTCTACTAGCTTTTTCTTTTTTTATTTATAAGTGTTATGTAATGCTTTAACGAGAAGTAATATGTACTCTATGAGAATAAATGTTAAGTGCATTTATTTTTAAAAGGAAAAGTGAGCAAAGTGCGTTCGATGTATAGTTTAGTGTYTGATCATCAGAATTGTTCATCTACTTTAGACGCCTTTTCCGTTCTTTGAAGKGCAGATTAAGTCATCTATTTATTTAAAAATAAATAGTTTCTCACAAAGACTGTCMCTTGTTAGTTAGATGGGTTTTTGGTGGAAATGTTACTTCCGTAAGAATAGTTAGYGTGTGAATAACATCCAATCGGTCCCTTGCATTAGCCAACAATAACCTTTTTAAGTCTAGTGACGCTTTAAGGATTTCACAATAATTAAAGTGATTTGACATTCATTTAATCTTTAATCCACCACGTCGTTTTGCTCTCTTCGCTTAGCTTGCTACAAAAGCTTGTCAATAATATCGTTAGATAGGCTTGGAAAGATAAGTGCTCTTTAGTCAAGAGCGCTTACTGCACGCTGATCCGGACTCTACTTTGTCGACATGAGGTCATCAATGTGATGTCTAAATATTGTGATAGTGTCGACATAAGTTTCATGTACCCCATGGTTTAAAACTAAAGATTATCTAACGCACGACATTTTAGTTTTCAGTATATTTTCATAGTATGTTTCCTGAATTGAAGTAAGAGCGCTATTGTCATAACAGTTGTTGTTGTTGTTGTTGTTGTTGTGGTTGTGGTTGTTGTGGTTGTGGTTGTTGTTGTTGTGGTGGTGGTGGTTGTTGTGGTTGTTGTTGTTGTTGTTGTTGTGGTTGTGGTTGTGGTTGTTGTGGTTGTTGTGGTGGTGGTTGTTAGTGTTGTTGTGGTTGTTGTGGTTGTGGTTGTTGTTGTGTGAGCGCAGTGTGTAGTAGTTACTACACGCTGCAATTCACTTGTTCTCAGTTCTTCTTAACATGTTCGTGTTTTTTCTTTCTTCAACTCCATTTCTTCTTTTCATTTTTAAATTTCTTTGTTTCATTCGTTCCATCATTCATTTCGTTATTTCTRTATTCATTACCTTGACATCATTCTTGTTGTAATCCGTTTCTTCCGATTAGTCTTACCTTCTACTCCTGATCTTCCTTTTTGCCCCAGAATTTACACATCGTTAGCAATTCTTTCATTGTTTTCCTCTTTAAAAATTCTCCTGTGGTAATATAGCTTCTCCTCTATCTTTAATGCATTTCTCTTTTATCCCACGGTACTATACATAAACTATCCAGTGACTTAAAATCCATCTCCAGGATTATCTAATATGGTGCCTGTATTTCTCTATCTCTTGTTCTTCCTTCGCCTTTTCTTGTCGGTCCAAAGCCRCTTTTCAGATCTTAATGRTRGCTACTCAAAGGTGCTTGTCTTGGTGGACTGAAGGACATGAGGAGCTGTTGYTACTAACCCTTAACCAAACATTAATGATTTATTTATAGATCGCTATACGATGAAGTCAGTCAGTCTACAGACTATGATGAGAAGTCAGTGTTACATTGTAACGTATTATAATWGTCATTGCTGTTTGTTTGTGCTGTGATTCTAACACTTCTTGCACTTTAAACCTGATTGAAAAACGTTGTCGTGACGCAAAAAGATAATATCATTGAAGCTAACACCAAAGTGGATTAAAAATATTCAGCATTACTCGTAGAGACGGTCATTTTATTCATTGCAGGCAATGTTGTCACACTGAAACGCTGATATACTGGAATATCTGCTTTTCCATGCTCCCTTTCGGTCGTAGTTTTGATGATGTAAGKTTTACGCCGACTACTTTTTTCAACTGGTTATACACAACCATAAAAATAGTGTACGTGTAAATATATATTGCATTATCGGTTTGTTGATTGTATATGTTGCACATAAACGYTATTTATTCTTTATTAACTGCTCTTTCACTTTATAACCAATTAAAAGTTAATATTAATTTGATAGTTACAAGGGGTAACCTCTCTTCATGTTTAATGCTAATRTTTTCTTGTACATGTAAAAGTTGTTGCTATGTTTGTTTATGGTACATCACTTTACTGCAAGGCCGCTGGGTATAACGAGAAATCATAGTTTATCAATTTACGTTGTTTATTGAATATTGCCTTTTTAATTCTGTTATTTGATTTATCAATCGATTATGWGTTTATCTTATCAAGTAATCTATCMAAAATAAACGATAAGGCGGCCATTTTAAATTAATGACGTCATAAAATCCAACATGGCTGCTGCTGTTTTTAAGTCATTAATCCACCAATTATGCTCAGCATATGAAGCTTCAAAGGAAAMGTTTATTGCGATAGTTTGAATACCAGTGGTACTTATATAGCAATGGAGATCAAAGAACAAAAGTGCGCTGCCTGAARCTGCTATAAGTGTTTTGCTGAAAAAGACGTCCTTATCGAACCATAGTTAATRGACTATGATCGAACAGAGTTACCAAATTATAGTTGCGTGAATTGTTTTTTATTATTCTACTTTTATACGTTGCGTGAATTTTTTTTATTCTACTTATRTAAATAGCTTMTATAAATAAAATAAAMATTGCAAGMAAGTTCGACGAGTATAAACATATAAGAAGTAATCTCAGAGTTTATTTTAGAAGACATGAGTATCTTACCTGTGTAAATGTTAACGTTCATGGTAAAAAAAGCACATTATGACAACATCATGATTGTTATGTTAATGTTCTTTGTTTTGATGCTAATTCTTGTGATCACAACCATCTAAAAACTGTTATTTTGTCAATCAGTGTGACGTTGACCGTAACTGTGGACGGACGTCAAATCCCAGTGAACATTGTCTCAAAAGATGACTTGTTAGTGAATATCACCACGTTGCACATTGCAGCTATACACGACTAGCTATTGACAAAAACACACTATAATCGTTGTCACTCATAAGTATTCAAAAGAGTAGATCATTTTTCTTCTCAAAATATATTAAAAATATATATAGAGAGAGCGTATAAATAGTATAAAATGATTGAAAAGCCACACAACTTGCAAGTTGAGCGTATATATATAGAGAGCGTGCTAAACTTAACAATAAATGTTTCTAAAACAGCTCCGCCCTTGTGAATAATCCATTAATAAAGCTTTAGTACATAATTGACAAGATTAGAATCAAACTGGTGACCGTCTGAATTAGATTCACTCTAGCCTTGAGGCACGGATCTCGTCAAACAGAGTAAAACGGATCAGTTTGTGCTTTTTTGTTGCGCAGCTTTGTTATCTTATACGTATGAATATTCTAGATGTCTTCTTTGATTGAACAATGCAATATCCACCTGGCCCCTTATGGAGTCAGCGTTAGACATTATCTATGACATCGCAGTTTATTCATACACGCCTTCTTTTCAAAGTCCACATCTTGACTTATAAACACCAAAAATATTTTTCATTACCTATCTGTTAAGTGTTGTATTAAAATTTTCAATTTATTATTCAAAGGATCAATTAAACAAATAATTAGTTGTGTTCTAAAGCAATAATTGAATAGCTTGCAGTTTTTTACATGACATCAAAAAAATTAAAACTTACCGTCTGCGGGATATGGTTTCCTTGGGCACCAAGACGGCCGCTTGTCTGGTGATATTTCTTCATCAATAGCAAGACAAGTCAATAATAATTTGTTTTGATCTAAGAGAAAGTGTTAGATCTTTAAGAGTTTATGAGTTGCTTCAAGGTGAAGGATAATAACTGCTCGTTCATTGCTCAAAAACTGACAATCATTTCCATAAATCATGCATTATTTATATACTACTTCACTTAGCACAGGCCCACGCTCACAGTACAATCGATGAAGGCACTTAAACTATGGCTAGAGCCTTAGCAAATGTTATACTTGCAATGTTTTATATCATAACCATAAGTGGGTTGGGGTAAATGACAAAGATGGCACGTCGAGGTTTGCAAGTAAATTGGGTTCCAAATCATGGCTCATGGAGTGGTGTTGATTCTCCTCGTCCTAGGTATCGTCTTCGGGATTTACTTTCATCGGACAAGAATAACGACGATAAAGAAAGGTATGGTTAACCACAKCAACTCTTATGACTGTTTAGTATAGAACTTTTGACCTCGAAGTTTATGTCTGAGGTTCGTAATACTTCAGCGCGCGGCTATACAGCAGTTATCAAGACATATACATGGACATAAAGCGCGCGTTCTGCTTATTTGTTATAGAAAGATGTGCCTAAACCCTCGTTAAAATTTAATTCTCGTGAGCGCGAAGCGCTGTATTTCGTATATTCACATTARTCGCGTTTGATTTTATCGGTGAGTTTCAAAGCAGTCGTATATCGAAACTATTTACTCCAATAATTTACTTTGCTGTGAGGGCTTTGAATAATTTTGCATCCACATCTGTAAATTCCATTCCTATTTCACACGTATAGTTTAAAAGCTATATACAATAGTATTTCGCGATAAAATACACTTTTATATTCGCATATGTATTTTTAAAGCCTCTCTATCAAAATCTATTTATCGAGTTTAGTACAACAACTGGTATTTAAATATTTCTTGTCGAAACGGAATATCATAACACATAGAATGAATGAATAAATTATTCGTCATTGATTGGACCATTCAGCTCACTTCTATAATCTACAATGCAATATTTATTTGGCATTTGCTTCCATACAAAAAGGATCAGTTTAGAATATGAAACGATCTCTAATTAACGCGGAGTATGGCTGAAAATGCTCGTGTAGTTCATTTCTATAGTCTTTTTAATTTCTTTTCGATGTATCTACAGATGTGTGCGATGTCTCGACTTGACGGCTGTTTCTGAAAAGCTACAAAAAACAATATCATCATTTTTCGCTTTTGTAATGAAAATCTTCCCTTTAAGAGCCAATCAAGCATGTTGAACAAGTTGACTGATTGCTTAGTTCATCAAACAGTCCTTGTGACTTCAAAATTAATGATCGCTTTAAAGATTTCCCAAACGATTCGTTCTCATCTGAGAAGCCACTTATAATGAAAAAATTAATATTTTCTCGACATTTTTATGACTCTTTCTCTGAGAGATTCATGCAGTGGGCAACTCGAAGTGGTTTCCTTTTGTACTTATTTATCTTGTTAAAACCATTTCTTCACAATTCAGATTCTAACAAATCAAACAAAATMTGTCTATGTTTATTAATACTATTTCAGTATTGACCATCCCCATGGCGATGTCAACACAATTTTACTTCTCGTTCTTCTAATGCACGAATCTGTATTTGTTTTTCAACGTCGAAGAGTATTTCTAAAACGCATCAAAAATGCGTTGGTGAGTTCAAAAGAAGAGGGCCGGATGCCCGGAAGTGTGTGACAAGTGGCTTATTCTATTCAATTGTCTTCAAAAAGATAACATTTCTAAAGCTGTTTTCGATTAATGACGAGGAGAACAAGTCCATTTTTTATTCATCTTCTTGTCTTTGTCAAATAATCAAACAGAATGTGGGAATAACTTGAGATTAACGATATGTTTCGGTTTTTGTTTCAGAGTRCGAGTAGAGCACTACAARCACGATAAATCATTCAAAGAGAGACTTCGGTTTTATTTTGTAAACAATCAACGTTATAGTAAGTATCCATGGCAACAGCGCCAGCGAAATGGAGTTATGGAGATAGTTGTTGAGCGAACATTTTCTTTAGTTTCCTCACTTCACATACTCCTGCTATTTCAATCTTCCACGCAACAAATTGATGTTCTCCGCCCCTTTTTCCTCCATGTTTGCCTTTTTCCTTTTCTCGCTTCATATGGCATATTTCCCCCAAAATGCAGTGCTAGCCCTTCTTTATCTCGTCATCATACCATCTGTTATCCATATGTGACAAAGTAGACGTTTAAAATGTAAATGGCTTGCAATGCTATCTTAAACTAACTCTTGTCAAACTTAAGTGCTCACTGATAGACAACCTATATACAAAGATTATGGGTAATGTTGAACCAGGAGGCGCAAACAACTAAAGAAGATAGCTACCAGATCTTCGGGTCATTGCGCATGCTCTTGGGTGATTTCCTAGTCCGTCCCACATGGTTTAGTTACTTAATGAAATTGATTGGCCTTTGCATATTTCATTTAGGTGTAAGATGGCAAACGTTTCGTTTTTTAATGAAAGTGTTGTCCTGTATTTTATATGCATTTCGAAGTATTGTCGATGACGAACCTGATAAAGCCCATTGGTGAGTGTAGATTATTAGAATACACCTTGCACGTATCAGATCATGCATACTGTCAAGATTTTATGACAGATTATTAATCTGTTTCTCCAAGGTATGGCTGTAATGAAGAGAAATATATAAACACATCAAAATGGTGCTGTCATCAAGGAAAGCTCAATACATCACAGGAATAGTAAGTTTCTAAATACCAAACACTTCTAATTGAAACGACTTAAAATCATTAATCGTGGTTTTATYATTGTTGCAGTAATATATGTGCGCTTATTTGGGTGCACAGATCAGACGAGTTATGGATAATACAGGTATAATAATCTTTTTTTAAATTTGCTAGCACGTTACTAAACATACCTTATTACCAAAAGAGTTAGTAGAGGGGAACTCTCTTACCAATATACAGTCACCAATTTGGGTTGGGMTAAAATCAGGAAGCGTCTAAACTGCAACTTCTCGCTTTTATTAAAATATTTTCTCGGAAATTTTCTGAATTTTATGGTTTATCGGCCATAATACTTCGTAAATAAAATATACATGTTCCGGTTGGTTAGTAGGGTACAAACACTAAAAGCGTGCAATACTTTTCCCTATTTACTACAAAATAGTGCCAATTAAAGTTTTAGTGTTTGTTCACTATCAATAACTACTTATTATTTTATTATTTTTTTAGACTATTATAGCTTTTTATTCGTTAATCGACACCATGCTTCATTGCTACCTAAGCAAGGTGAGATATCCATGCTTGTTTATTGCTTTAGAAAGGCGAACGAATACGATTATCAGAAAGTATATTAACCTCCTTAAAATTTCTCATGTTGCAGAGATCTTTTATAAGTCAGATTGTCAACCTTCGTATGTTCATAGAGATCATTTTATCAGTTCCCTTTATGATATCTGTAAGTATCTGTATGTATATCTTATGATATCTGTAAGTAACTACATCTATATCTTATCATATCTTTAAGTAATTTTATGTACATTTTCTGATATATGTAAGTTACTATATGTACATTTTCTGATATCTGTAAGTAGCTATATGTACATCTTATGATATCTGTAAGTAGCTATATGTACATTTTATGATATCTGTCATGAAGTAGCTATATGTACATCTTATGATATCTGCAAGGTACTATATATACATTTTATGATTCATGACGGAACTGTGTAGTTTCTGCAATGATACTAACTTAACATTTATTTCTTCCAATGTCTTCTTCGTTTGCAGATATTTTTACCAGAGATTAGAAACATATGGCTTCCGTTGTTTCTAAATTGTTGGTTAGCAAAAGCAGCTTTAGAGACAATGTTTGTAAGTAATTTTATCAGCAGGAGGGAGCTCAAGGTTTCACTTGAATCTTTCCACAATTAACAATCTTGAGACCAGAGTCCGCTATGACTGATACACGAGCCATGACTTGTAACATGGTATCATCACTGATCATATATGACTATCATGGGCGTGTGAATGGTAACTAAGGGATTTTGTAGGCAAATCGTAAACTACAGTCCTAGATCAAAMTCGTGTCATGTAAATTGGCCATAATTCATCTCAACATAATCATGATTTATGACAATAAAAAACTCAAAAATAATCAATAGCTAACAATAATCATTGTTTGGTAGAATGATTTACACAGATTGGTACTGCGTCAACAATCAGCATTATCACAAAAAGTTCTTATTCTAACTGGAAC